TATGATACAAAAATTATTTGAAATGTTTTTTATGTTATCTAAAATTATATATGACTATATGAGATGATATAATATGTGGTTGATATGTTATGTACATTTTAATTGTAATACGCTGCTAATTTTATATTTTAAAGTTATTTTGTAATAATTTATATAAATGTAATTTCCAAATAAAATTTGATGCAACTCTTAAATTAAATTATAAATTTATTCGACTTTGTTAGTACATAAATTGCCTAGTAATTTTGAATAAAATCAAAATACAAATAAATAAAAAATAATAAAATACTACTAATTACACGATTATGCACAAACGTTAGAGTAGTGTTGGTCTCTAGCGTAGCGTAGTTTTGAAAAATCCAAGCTCTTGTGTCTTGGAGATCATGTAAGAGCAACTCCAATACTTCTCTACACAGTAGACACTGCAAAAAAATAAAAATAAATAAATAAATAAATAAATAAATTGGTATATTATTGTAGCTACATTTTTGTATTACTCTTAAAATATCACTTAAATATATATTTATTTCAATGTACCGTTTTGACAAAATATCACTTAAATTATTTTAAATGTTTATAATTGTATTTAAATATTATTTTGTACTAATATATTTTATAAAATGTAGTGCTAACGGCTTGAGACAAAAACTAAATTTTGGCATTAACTACTCTAGAGTAACATGTAGGGATGGGGATGGTTGAAACTGTCAAACGAAACGAACTCATTAAAACGCTCGTTTCGTTAACGAGCCGGGCTCAGTTCAACTCGATAAAGCTCGAAAAGAGAAATTTTATATAAATTTTCATAATTCGACTCGTTAAATCTCGATATCGGATCAAACTTGGCTCGTTAATATTGATCAACGAACTGAGCTCGAGCACGATTTCTGATTCGTTTACTTAACGAATCTAAGAAGACTTTGAGTACCCAAAATAAAATAAAAATATAATGTAAATAAAAAGGGAAAACGACCGTTAACTTGGAGGATATGAACAAAATGATCAAATCAGATCCTAAAAAATTTGGGCCTAGGTTAGAGTTAGGCTTATATTTGGACCGATCTGAATTCTCTTGCCAAGAAGCTTTTCTTAGACCGGTTGTCAGGAACAAACTTATCAGATTGTGGGACCCACACACACACACACACGCCTCGTGTCAAGCTCCTATTGGTGGACTGCTTCTTGTTTTCTGACTTTGATACCCTTGAAAATCTCTAAAAAGAAAATTCCCACACAATGTACAATGCTCGTCCCTTGGTTAGGGAATTGTCTTGATGATTATAAAATATGCAGCACACACTTTGATGGCTTACGTATCTAATCTTAGATCTCCCTTTTTTTTTTGTACAAAGAAGGAGGCAAAAGCCTAAGACCGTTAGACAGTTATACGCCGCGGGTATGCAATCCCAATAAGTTCATGCTGTAACCACGGTTTAACTGCCGACGGTGGATCTAGGAGCTGTTGATAACCGCTCGGACACTGGTGAGCTAGAGACGCCAAACAGTGAGCTGTAAAGTTGTCTTCCCTATAACCACTTTTAACCATTTATTCCTGCCTCTTGATGACTACTCGTGGGCTCCAAGTGTTACTAAGCACTGTATCTCTTTTTACTATCTACCGCATTTTCTATGATCGTTTTGTTTGACATTTTTTTTTAAACACGGCCGACCGGCAATACTGGTCGGACTGTCGTCGACCGGTCGGTGATTGCGGGTGCGTTAGGTGGCGGTCGGCTAGACTTTATAAAATCACAAACGAATACTTCAAGATCTTTAAAAGTCTAAATCGAATACACTAGAATTTGTATTAAAT